AAGCAAAGAATTAGGAACTGTCAAAACATCTTCTCCCAAGCTATCTGAAAGTACTTGTTTTTTGCATAGTGTCAAAGTATTGCGCTTCTGTGGTACAAAGCATTGAACCAGATATGGGGCAACACAATAATGTGTAAGATACAGTCCTTATTTCTGCCAGATGGAGGAGCTAAAGTACCTATACCTGTACAAATACAAAATAATTGGAAAGCTGTTGGATGCTCTTAGATGTTCAAGTTAGGTTAGGCAATACTAACAGTATATACATGGCTTTTGAGCCAAACTTTGAAAAATGAAGGATTGGCTAAAACCAATAAGAGACCTCAGTATTTGGTTTTCTGTTCCTGTGTTACTTTGCTAAGGATAATAGCCTCCAGCTGCATCCATATGCCTGCAAAGGACATGATCTTATTCTTTTTTATGGCTGCATAGTATTCCATGGTGTATATGTACTACATTTTCTTAATCTAGTTTATCATTGATGGGCATTTACGTTGATTCCATATCTTTGCTATTGTGAATAGTGCTGCAATGAGCATATGTGAGCGTGTGTCTTTATAATAGAATGATTTCTATTCCTTTGGGTATATACCCAGTAATGGGATTGCTGAGTTGAATGGTATTTCTGTCTTTCTGTCTTTGAGGAATTACCATACTGTCTTCCACAATGACTGAACTAATTTACACTCCCACCAGCAGTGTAAAAGTGTTCCTTTTCCTCCTCAACCTTGCTATCATCTGTTGTTATTTGACTTCTTAATAATAGCCTTTTTGACTGGTGTTAGATGGTATCTCATTGTGTTTTTTTTTGTTTGTTTTGTTTTTTGATTTTTTGAGATGGAGTCTTGCTCTGTAGCCCAGGCTGGAGTGCAGTGGCATGATCTCGGCTCACTGCACGCTCCGCTTCCCAGTTCACACCATTCTCCTGTCTCACCCTCCTGAGTAGCTGGGACTACAGGCGCCTGCCACCATGCCCGGGTAATTTTTTGTATTTTTGGTGGTGATGGGGTTTCACCGTGTTAGCCAGAATGGTCTTGATCTCCTGACCTCGTGATCCGCCCACCTCGGCCTCCCAAAGTGCTGGGATTACAGGCGTGAGCCACCATGCCCAGCCTCTCATTGTGTTTTAATTTGCATTTCTCTAAAGATCAGTGATGTTGAGCTTTTTGTCATGATTGTTGGCCACATGTATGTATTCTTTTGAAAGGTATCTATTCATGTCATTTGTCCACTTTTTTATGGGGTTGTCTTTTTCTTGTAAATTTGTTTAAATTCCTTATAGATGCTGAATATTAGGCCTTTGTCAGGTGCAGAGTTTTCAAAAATGTTCTCCCATTCTGTAGGTTGTCTGTTTACTCTGATGATAGTTTCTTTTGCTGTGCAGAAGCTCTTTAGATTAATTAGATCCTATTTGTCAATTTTTGGTTTTTTTGCAGTTGCTTTTGGTGTCTTCATCATGAAATCTTTGCCCGTGCCTATGTCCTGAATGGTGTTGCCTAGGTTATCTTCCAGGGTTTTTATAGTTTGGAGTTTTACATTAGTCTTTAATCCATCTTGAGTTAATTTTTATATATTGTGTAAAGAAGGGGTCCAGTTTCAATCTTCTGCATATGGCTAGCCAGTAATCCCGTGATGTGCTTTCAATAATACAGAGTACATCAATATTTGTAAAATGTGAATTATGGAACTATTTCCTGTACCTCATAGGTATTTCAAGGAGGAAAATTAATGACAGATATTACACTGAGTAACAAGGTAGTGTGAGTTTAAAAACAGTTATTGATGGGTGCAGCACACCAACATGGCACAAGTATACATATGTAACAAACCTGCACATTATGCACATGTACCCTAGAACTTAAAGTATAATAATAATAATAATAATAATAAAAACAGTTATTGTGCAGTGTGTCTCTTCATTTTCCAGTGTCAGGGAAAAAATGTTATTAAATTCTACAATTAAATATGTTGCACAAATGTGCTGAGTCCATTTACATTTTATGGAATAATTTCTTTTGTTCTGCACTAGCTGGCTGGCAGAGAAATTGAACAATGTTTGGTGATGTTAAAGTTGTAATTTTGTCAGCAACAGAATTAGGAAATATAAATATAAATCTCGAAATAAAATGTGTTGTGTTATCTTTGGCTACTCTAGGGGCTAAAATACAACTTTTCACCACCACTTCTCAGTGGACTTTGCCTGGGAAGTCAGTTGTCATTGTTCTGGCAAGTTTCTTTTCATCCATCCTGAATTGTGTTAACATTTAAAGGGAAGGTTATAAAGAAGTATATTTTAGGGTATCTACCCAAAGGAAAAGAAGTTATTATATGAAAAAGACACATGTACGTGCATGTTTATAGCAGCGCAATTCACAATTGCAAAATTGTGGAACCAACCTAAATGCCCACCAACCAACAAGCGGATAAAGAAAATGTGGTGTATTTACACCATGGTATGCTACCCAGCCATAAAACAGAATGAAATAATGGCATTTACAGCAATTTAGATGGAGTTGGAGACCGTTGTTCTGTGAGAAGTAACTCAGAAATGGAAAACTATAAATTCTCACTTATAAGTGGGAGCTAAGCTATGAGGATGCAAAGGCATAAGAATGATATAATGGACTTTGGGGACATAAGGGGGAGGGTGGGAAGGGGATGAGGGATAGAAGACTAAATATTGGGTACAGTGTACACTGCTCCAGTGACGGGTGCACCAAAATCTCAGAAATCACCACTAAAGAACTTATTCATGTAACCAAAATCACCTGTTCCCCAAAAACTACTGAAATAAAATTTTTACAAACCAAATACATTTTAAAGACAATTTAAAAAAATTACAATAGTAAGAACCTGGAAACAATACGAAAATGTGGAACGTAGAAAGTATTGTCTGAGCGTGCAATCCCAGCACTTTGGGAGGCTGAGGCAAATGGATTACCTGAGATCAGGAGTTCAAGACCAGCCTGGCCAACATGGTAAAACCCCGCTCTACTAATAGCACACACACACAAAATTAGCCGGGCATGGTGGCAGGCACTTGTAATCCTAGCTACTCAGGAGACTGAGGCAGGAGAATCACTTGAACCCAGTAGGCAGAGGTTGCAGTGAGCCAAGATCACTCCATTGCACTACAACCTGGGCAGCAAGAGTGAAACTCTGTCTCAAAAAAATAAAAATAAAAAAATTAAGTGTCTTCCACAATTGGAGATGTTCTTCCATATCTTCTCCTATGCCTATATGATAATACTAAATATGTGTGTCACTTAATTGTGCTCATATATATATATGTTGTAGGATATACTATACCTGATATTCTGTGACTTTGATTTTTAACCTCAACAATATATCATGGTATTCTTCCTGGTCAGCACATATAGTCCTATCTCATTTTTTCCAAAGGCTATAGAGGATATTACTCTATAAATGAAAAAAATGGAACCTCTGTTGATTAGCATGTATCATATATATATCAGTATGTATGTTTAATGTATACTTATTTTATTGCATAATTAATAGCTGTACAGAATTTTAAAAATTGATACATTGTAACTTTACATATTTATGAGGTACAGTTTGATGTCTCAATACATGTATATCTTGTATATTGTTCAAATCAAGGTAGTAAACATGTCCCTTACCTCATTCATTTATAATTTACTTATGTTGGGAACATTCAAAAACAGTTATTCTAGCTATTTTGTAACATAAAACACCTTACTGAGAACCATAGTCACCCACTGTGCAACAGAACACTACGGGGTTTTTATTTTCTGTGTAGACAAGTCTGCCTTACTCTAAGAAAAGATTGCCCCAGAGACCATCTTTTCATTGTTTTTTTTTCAGCAGTTTTTGTTGTTGTTGTTGTTGTTGTGTGTGAAGTTTTATACTGGTTGTGAATATAATTTTGAACAATATATGGAGGACTTCACTGACTGATTTATTAACCTTAGACACTATGTGAGTAAAGCAGGACTGTACTGCAAGGAGATGCTAAACTTTTGACATTCCCAAGAGAGAAGTTTTATAAATTTCAGAATTCCCCTGATTTATGCATGCCTCTCTGTCACTTAATTATGCTCATAAAATTCTGCTTAACTAGCACTGGGATTCTTAACTTGGAGAGAAAAGAGTATGCTACCACTGCAACCTACCAGAAGAACATATCAGAATCTTTGGGAAAATCTTTTCAAAATATGCATATCTTCCTTCCTACCCTCTACCCCCAAGTGGAACATGCTTACCTGATTGAAAATCACTGCATGTAATTAGTTGTTACTAATTGGAATGTAACTATCTGGGAATGTGTTGTACAGATAGTGTAAAAGCAAAAAACAAACAGCAACAACAACAACAAACTTGTCAAAGTAAGAATTATATATATGTCAGCTTAAGGCATTTAAGTGGTGAAGAGGCTTTTTTTTTTTCCCTGCCCCGCCCCACCAAGGTTAAAGGGCTTTGTCTTAAATCTCCTCATTTTCTGTTTATCCTATTATTTCATTATCGATCCTAGCAGAGGACTCTCCTTTATAAAATTCACTTTACAAGAGTTCTTGTGTAAACATTAATGAGTAGAGACTAACAAAACAAAGTAGGGATGTGGATGCCATAGCATGGATGGGGTCATTGCTGAGATGAGTGACTGTCTTCTGTATTGTAGACAAGGGCAAGTCAAATTTGTATCCAGCAAAATCACTATCAGGGGCCTTCAGTTCACTATAATAGTTGAAACTCTGAGCACTAATTCTGTGAATATCTAACCAAATCTATCATCTTTTATACCTTTAAACCTAGTAGAAAATTCTTAGAGGTTTGCGATTCTGTCTATTTGAAGATCACCTTACTGGGTCCAGTGGATACTAAAATGACGATGACAAGGACATGCCTGTCTGGAGGGTTGGTTCACAGTGCTTTGAGCTTTCTCTGTAGCACCTGAGGGTAAGTAAAAAGTCTAAGAGGAGAATTTCTAATGGAGTTCTCTCTGTCTGTTTTATCTGCAGACTGCAGCTGAATATGTAAAATCTCGACTCCCAGAGGCCCTTAAACAGCATCTTCAGGACTACGAGAAAGACAAAGAAAACAGTGTATTGTCTTACCAGACCATCCTTGAACAGCAGATTTTGTCAATTGACCGAGAAATGCTAGAAAAATTGACCGTATCCTATGATGAAGCAGGTATGTTTGTTTTTAAAACACACATTTTTTTTTCCTCCTTGCAAAAAAATTTCATTATAAACCTTGGTTAAACTTGGTAAAAGGTTAAGGGCAAACTGGATTCAAAGTTATGTAACGTGGACTAATAGTAAGTTTCTTCTCTGCAGTTTTAGTCTCAAGATGGTCAGAAGATTCCTAAAAATGGATCTTAAATATCAAATACCTTTAAAATTTTGGTCTTTTTTATTGAGATTTTTTTGGCCTTTTATTAACCGGCTTCTCCTAAAGTGTTATTTCAATTTGGATAGCAACTGAAAACTTTTACATCCGAGAATCCAAGAAATGTTATTTGATTCAAATATTTGAGTTAATTTTAGTTTTCTTTTCTAAAGAGGTATTTTTGGTTTTTTTCTCAAACTGTTAAGCTAATCATTACTTTCTTTTCCTTAGCAACTCAGACACTACCACATCAGAGACTTCATCTCACTGCCTGCCATAGGTTCTTCCCATCCAAGGGAGCTTATTAATGAAGTCATGGACAGACCTCCTTATAACATTATTTCCTCCTTATAACATTATTTTAATCTATTATATGGTCTGTCAGCTAAGACCCAATTTTAATTAAATGAGTATAGTATTACTTGGAATTATTAAAATCTTTAATAAAATTAAACTTAAGCAGCAGACCCTGATTAAAATTGCTGTACCTCTCCACCTCCCCCTCTCAAAAAAATTGGAGGAAAAAGTACAGGAAAAATGGTTTCTAATGGTCAAATGTTAATGGTATTCTTCTATTAATGCCAAGAACTTCTGTTTCTATTTTTACAAGGATTTTTTAGCATGTATCTTATTTTCTTCATCAGAATCTATGCATGCTCAATACTTTCTTACCACTTGATTTCAAGTTCAAATAGCAAACAGAAGAGCAAATTACACAAAACAAAACATTATAGTACATTCGCCTAACCACTTAACCAATATTTCTAGTTACTAAGCTGCCCCCGTGTATACTCCACCCTCTAACCCCTTCACCTCCCTCTGAGGCAGGATCTATATTTCCAGTTTTGCCCAGGACATCTCTGCTTCTCTGATTCTTCTTTGCTTTTTTTTCGTTTTCCAGACACATTGGCTTTCTTCTGCCTAGCATTTTCGTTATTTTCAATAGTCTTCTCATTGGTATTCTTATTCATCTCTTCTCTCATCCTTAATGGAATAAAGTAAGGTTTTGATCAGTCCCAACCAAAATCATATTTAAATATTCATAGCATCTTATAAATCATAGAACTCATATAGTCCATTCACTATGACCATTTTATGGTGAGAAAACAAACTCATGGACTTGCCCGAAATAATGCAGTTACTTAGTTGTAAAAACTGGGACACCAACTTCCTAATTACGAATCAAGCTATGCTTTTACTACACTGATGCAGGTTCTCATTTGCTCAGTAAGCACTTGTTGAATGCATGGCAATATACTAGGCAGTTGAAGCAAAGAGAAAAGCAGTGAAAACATGGAAAGGAATCTGAGATGTAGAAAATAGATCTTGCTTAAAGTCTTGCTGGGGGGCTAAAACATACATGTATGAGCTCTAGAGAAAAATTTCTGAGGAGTTTGGGACTAAATACACCCCATAATATCTTCAAGTTATTAAAGTTAAGATGAAATGTGGAGTCAAGAAATAGTAGAAATGGCTGAAATTTTCCGTGAAATTCTGTAGAGGGGGCATTATTTTAAACCTTGAAGGGCAAATGGTGGGCAAGTATTTGTGAAGAGAAGGGGGATGCATTTTAGTTTATGAAGGGGCACAAGGAGACATCAAGGTGAGCATGAACATTAGCTGCAATCACCCACCACTCAAGTTTTTCCTGCCTCAGGAGTAATTTTCCACTCTCCTGCACTGTTGTTGAGCAGCAACTGATCCTCAGAGGTACACTTGCACATGGCTTTTAGGGGCTAATAGTTTGGCATAGAATTAATCTGTCAATAATGTAGCATGAAACGGTGGAAATAAACACAAGATTGAGAGTTAGAGGATCTAAGATCTAGGCCTTCCCCCAGGTTAATACTGGTGTGATCTTCAGCAAATTAACCTCTTAGAACCTATGTTTCTTCATCTGTAAAATTGGGCTAATGTAATCTCACAGGGCTATTATAACAATAAAATATTATCATGTTTGGGGAAGTCCTTAGAGATCATATTGCAAATGCTAATTAATGCCACTAGTGATGAATGAGAACAGATTTGGACCTTGTCTATCCCTTAAACCAGTGTAAAGTACACCTGACCCTTGCACAACATGGGGGTTAGGGATGCCAACTCTCCATGCAGTCAAAAATTAGCATAAAACTTTTGATTCCCCAAAAATCTTAACTACTAATAGCGTACTGTTGACCAGAAACCTTACTGATTACATAAACCGTCAATTAACACATATTCTGTATGTTATATGTATTTATATCGTATTATTACGACTAATTAAGCTAGAGAAAAAAATTTATGAAAATAATAAAAAAGAGAAAATATATTTACTATTTATTAAATGGAAGTGGACCATCATAAAGGTCTTCATCCTCACTGTCTTTACTTTGAGTAGACTGAACAGACTGCTGAAGAGGAGAGGAAGAACTGGTCTTGCTGTCTCAGGGGTGTCAGAGACAGAAGAAAATGCACATATAAATGGGCCCATGCAGTTAAACCTATGTTGTTCAAGGGCCAGCCGTATTCTAACTTAGTCTTTTCTTGGCATGTAGTGTTTGGGAAGGCAGAGGGGAAGTTTTTTAAGTGATCTTCAGAAGCTTTGAAAAGTCTAGCAACATCTATTTGATAAAACACCCACTCTGAGCTCAGTTTGCCTTTGGTCATCTCTGCATGAGGTGATGCAGGGCAGTGGATGTGGGAGGATAGGCTATGTGTATGCATGAGTGAATGAGTGTGACTGTGTGTTGCAAAACCAAAAGTCACTACCTCCAGCTCCATAACCCATATGTTAATGATTTCAGTCAAAGAAAGAGGATAAGAAAAAAATATTACTATTTAGCAGAAAAATATAATAATACAAAAGAATTAGGATAGAAAATTGGTAGTAGTAGGCCAGGTGTGGTGGCTCATACCTGTAATCCTAGCACTTTGGGAGGCCGAGGTGGGTGGATCATGAGGTCAGGAGATCGAGACCATCCTGGGTAACACGGTGAAACCCCGTCTCTACTAAAAATACAACAAATTAGCCAGGTGTGGTGGCAGGTGCCTGTAGTCCCAGCTACTCAGGAGGCTGAGGCAGGAGAATGGCGTGAACCCAGGAGGCAGAGCTTGCAGTGAGCCAAGATCGTGCCACTGTACTCCAGCCTGGGTGACAAAGCGAGACTCCATCTCAAAAAAAAAAAAAAAAAAAGAAAATTGCTAGTAGTATCCAATATGTGCAGATATAACCATCCTACAGAGAAGCTTCCTGACTTAGGATGGTTTAATTTAGTAGTTTTTGACTTTATGATGGTGCAAAAGTGATGCACATTCAGTAAAATCTGTACTTCACATACACCCGTTTTGTTTTTCATTTTCAATATAGTATTCACTAAATTACATGACATTCAACACTTTATTCACTTTATTATGAAATAGACTTTGTGTTAAATGACTTTGTCCAACTACAGGCTAATGTAAGTGTTCTGAGCATATATAAGTTAGTCTTAACTAAGCTATGATGTTCAGTAGGTTAGGTGTATTAAATGAATTTTCACCTTAGGATATTTTCAATTTACAATAGGTTTATCAGAACATAATCTCATTCTAAGTCAAGGAGCATCTGTACTAAGACACTCATTTGCTTCAACTGTTTAGCTTCTTTCTATGCTATCTTAGTTTTGACTTCCTCACGTTCTTGATTCAGCTCTCCCAGTTTTAGGAGATAGTTAATTATTAGTTAGAAGATATCTTGGTCTCTAGAAAGGTTAATTTGTCTTTAATACTGATTCACTGATAAATTAGCCTGAGTGACTTAATGACAATTACTGCTATTTGTAGTGTCTAAACTTCTATTAATAAAAAACCAATTAATGAAAAAAACACTTAGACATTTTTCTAAAATCATTGGCTCAGAATTTTTTCACCCTCTCCTTTTTTTCTTTCTCTTTCTCGTCCCATTTAATACATATATACTTTAATGCTTTGCCCATCCACAAAATTCAGCTATCTAGCAACCTGGAATTCAGCAAAGAAATGGGAAGTGAGCAAAAACCATGTGTGTACAACCCTACCGTGTCACAGAACTGTGGACAAGTCCATACAACAGAGGCTTTCAATTCTCACCTAGAATCTATATATTTTTATTTTATATAGTTCTGAAGGTTATATTTTCCAATGTGATATTTTCTTCTATAAAATTCTTTTTCTGACTTAAAGTGTTAAACTTTAATTGCAGAAATGAACAGAAATACATAGAACAGTATAATCTGAGAATAATTGTCAGTAATCTTACTACTGTAAACACTTTGGTATGTTTTCCTCACTCTAAGCATTTTTAAAATGTAGTTGGTATCTGGTAGTTTTATTGTAATTTTATATCCTGCTTTTTGCATTTAACATTATTACATAAGCACTTCCTGATTTCATTAAAGCCTCTTCATGTGAAGATAATTTTAATGGCTACATCATATTCTATTTGAAAGTATCACTCACTAAATATTCTCTTATGTTGCACATTTTCATTTTTGTTTTGCTCTTATGAATAATGCTGCAAGAAATAGGGGATTCATTTGTCTGCATTTTATATTACTCTAGAGGATAGACTTCAGAAAACATAAGAGTTTAGAATTGAAACGAGAAGGTGGGGAAGGGGATGATACTTGGAGCAGCAACACTGAAAACATAAGTAATGAGAGCAAAGAGTAAATCTATAAAAAGCACTTAGATTCCTGACGTTGTACTACACTCAAAGTCATATTAGCATTCACAGATTGTATTATAGAGTTCACATTGTTGATCTTCACACTGGTGACCTTGATTCCCAAAGAAAAGGTTCAATA